GCTGTCCCTTTGTCAGGGCACCGAGAAATACAGTGGTGAGGGACGTGCCCCCCCAGCCTCAAAAGCACCACCACGGCTGTCGTGTGGACACCAGGAATGCTACTAAGGGCTGCTGGGTGGAACAGAAGCCTCTGTGTTGCTAGGATCCCACAGGCAGGAGCTCCAGGAAGGGGGAGGTTGTCTATCTCAGCAGAAGGCAAGACAGCCATGTCCAATCCCACGGGCAGTCTGGGAAGCAGAATGACCTGTGCACCAGAGATCGCTGGCACAGATGAATTGACCATGAGCCCAGGACTAAAATAGAGACAGCCAGGCACTAAGGCCCTACTTGATCTGCATGGCAGAGAAGACAGAGATCTGTCACGATTTGACATACACCATCTCAGCAGAGTGCTGTGCGCACATCCAACTCTCAGACCTGAACTTGAAGTTACGGAGGTGATGAATTTCTATCATTCCCTCATTTAGCCGATCATTTGGCATACAACACAGAGGGGTCTTGGAGAATCAGAACAGATGGTCAGAAGTTTAATACAAGCCAGGCATGGTGACACATATCTGTAATTCCAGCTACTCATGAGCTGGAGGAAGGAGGATCGGGAGTTCAAGGCCAGGGTGAGCAAAGGCAGTGGTGAGATTGTGTCTCAAAAAAAAATAAACTTATTCCTTAATTAATAAATACCAAAAGGGCACAGGTGTGACTCAAGTGGTAAAACATTTGTCTGGCATGCACAAGGCCTTGGGTTCAATCCCCAGTACTAAAAAAATAAAATAAAACAAATTAAGAAGCTGAATGCAAGGGCGACTTCAGTACTGCAGCCCACACAGCCTCTTTGCTCCTTGTTGGTAAATGAAGACTCCCAAAGCTGCCTGGCTCCACCAGCTAGGGTGTTAAGGGTATTTTCCAGCTTGGTTAGGACCTAGGTCAACTCGCTCCATGTCACCTTTTAGTCCCCACCAATGCCTACCACCTCAGTGTCCCACAGGATGTCACAGTGGCCACTAACTACCTGATAACACCATGCTACAAGGACCTACAGAGCGGGGACAGGTAGATTCAAGAGAAAGATGTGAACTGTTGGGTGGGAAATAAGTAAGGAACCTGCTGGGCCTGTGACCTTTGGGAAGGGTTTTAGGGAGTCCAGGGGTCCAGGCTGAGCTGTCTCCCCAACTCCCCAAGGTGGAGGATGGGTTGTTGCACCTGCCACCACCGCCTACAGAAAAAAGAGGCACCATGCTGGTGTCTTTATGGAGGCAGCATTTGCCACAGTGGGGCATGCTGCTCTGACCCACCCGTGGGCTGATTGGAAGGGGTGCTAACCTTGAGAAGGGGTTCAAGAGTAGAGTGCTCCAGTGCAATGTGGTTTGCTGTCTGTAACTCAGTGGGTCTTAACGGTGCTTGAAGTGCCAATGGCGCACTGGGGAGGTGGATCCTGTGACAAGTCCCGTTGGGAGAACACATGTCAACTACAAAGGCTTTAGAGAAAATATAGGACTTCTTTGCTAAATAACACTTTTCCTTTTGAGAAGAGACTTGGCTGGCTGGAGAAGAGACTGGATGCCTGATAAGGAAGTCTGACTTCCAGGCAGGCTGAGCTAACCATCTTGAGATGGGTGTGATTTTTGATCAGTCAAGCCACTGAGTCAAGTCCACCGAAAGACCCAGCTACACTGGAGACTTGACATTCAGGCAGACAAGGTAACCTGCCTTGTATTGAAGTCCCCTTCTGTCCCATAGCTTATCCAATGGGCTCAGAGACAGTGACCATGGGGACTGGTACTGACCTGTCTATGTTCCTAGCACACTCTAGAGCCCACTCCCAAGGCTGGCCTGGCTTTTGCCAGCATCATCAGTCAACAATGATCTTCCAAAAGGTGCCATAGTAGGGGGTGGTCTTAGATGACAGCCTGGGAGCAGAGTGCAGACCTCTTTCATCATAGAGGAGCTCAGTGAATTTTCCTCCCAGTAACAGACAATGCTTTTGAACTTGGATTGACTTTCCTTGCCACCAATGCTGTGCTGATATCCTTAGATTTCCTGAATGCCTCATTCATCACCTGGGTATCCCACACAGCACATCAAAAGAAGAAATGCGGGCACATATCTGTGCCCTCAGCAGCAGCTGGCTGGTAGAATGGTGAAATGACCAATTTCAGCCTTAGTCATTGGACCTGCTGGAAGACAAAGTCAGAGAGACAGTGTCATGGTTTGAAAAGAAATGTCCCCCACAGTCTCTTGTGTTGAAGGCTTGGTCCCCAGCTGTGGTGCTATTTTGAGAGGTTCTTGATCCTTTAAGAGTTGGAGGAAATATGTCATAATGGGGGATTGCCACTGAAGATTGTATACCTCATCCCCTGTCCCTTCCTGTCCCTCTCTCTGCTTCCTGTCTGTCAGGAGGTGAAAATTCTTGTCCACCATGTGCTCCTGCTGCTGTGATGTTCTGCTCTGGTGCAAGGGCCCAGGAAGCCATGGAGGAAGTGTCTACACTGTGAGCAAAATAAGTTCTTCCCCCTCAGAGTTGTTCTCTTGGGAATTTTGGTCTCAGTGCACAAAAGTAGTCAACACAGGCAGTGTCATTCTCCTACAGAGAATCTCCTGCAAACCCAAAGCTGATGTGTGCTTCAATTTGTCCCCCAGTCAGGCGCGAGAATGTCATTTCCCATGACACATCCAGTGAGCCACTTAGGAGCTTCTCATTTCTGCTCCCTCACCTCTGTGCGCTGGGAGTTCAAAGCTGCTGCAGGAACTCCAGCACGGTCCACTGAAAGGAACGTGAGACTGGCTCTCTCACACTCCTCACACCAGTGACTAACTTGCAAAATCACTGGCTGTGATCATAGTGTTGGTCATGGTGACAGCTGTGACGATCGTGATCAAGGGGAAGCAGGGCTGTCATTATGTGATGGGCGAAAGGAGGTGAGTAGATAGAATCCAGTCATGGTAGTACCTCTTGCCAGGCACATCCAGTGCCAACACTAACAAACTGGGGTCCTTCAGAAACAAAGGCCCTCTGACTAGCTGCCTGATAAAGGAAAGGGAGGGCTAGGATTGTAGCTCAGTAGCAAAGTGTCTAAAATGCACAAGGCCCTGGGCTAGACCTCCAGCCCTGCAAAAAGAAAAAAAGTAGGGGGGTTGGGAAGGGATGGGAGGTGATGCAATGTGCATTAGAAGAGTCACAGATACCAATTACAGCCTTTGACTAGTTGCAAAACAAGAGTTCTCACTGCTGCTTATATTCTTCCTTGCTGTGTCATACACATATTTGTATCTATTTTAAGTAATTGTCCCTTTTTTTTTCTGTTCCTTTTCCTCTACTATTTTACATAGAGCCAACTAGTGATGGGTACTTTATACTTCAGCATATGAAGTATAGAATATTGAGCTGGGATGGGGGAGTTAAAGGAGCAGCGCTGTCACTCAGAGCTCCTGGGCTGGAGTTGGAGTGATCCTTTAGGGGGAGGAAGGAGCGCATTTCTCAACTGTCAAGGGGCTGTGACACTGTATTTATTAAGTGGAGCACTTTTAGCTCCTATCACCTTTGGTTTTAGAATTGTAAGGATGGTTTTAAAAAATGCATTGACACTGGGTGATCAAAGAGGTAGATTGTTGTAGACGTTTGGCTTATTTTTTATTTCTAAAATACAGGGTCTCACCGTGTAGCCCAGGCTGGCCTCAAACTCTCCATCCTCCTGCCTCCACTTTCCAGGTGCTGGGATTACAGATGTGCACCACCACACCAAGTGTTCCTTTTGTTTGCTTTGAAGGTGTGGTAAAGGCTGCTAGATCCTATCCCAAATCCATTCTCCCCTTCATCCATAATAACAGAAGTGTGACCTCTAGCTTCCTAAGGTAATGACATTCTATCAAGGAGCTCAAAGTGTCATTTCTGGGATGGTTCCATAAAAAAGACAGGACAGAAGCCCTTTAGTCCTCCTCTGCTCTTCTTATGGCCGCCTGGGATGTGGACACAATGGTTGGAGAATCAGTAGCCATTTCCAATCACGAGGTAAGGCAGTCTTGTGAATAAAACCCGTGCACAGTGTAGGAGCAATTTTGGAGCTTGGGTTCCTGATGAGAAGCTGTTTTCCTGTATTTTTTCAATGTGCCAGAGGAGACGATGGTAAACAAGGCGTGGTTTCTATGCCAAGGAAACTTACAAGAAGTCTAGGTGGCTGACAATTAGGCGAGGATAACCGAAGAAGCACACAGACGGGACCTAGAGCCCAAACCCCAGTGAGCACCTGATGCGGGGATGCGAAGACATAGGAGTGACCCCCGCGGGAGGCAGGTGTGAAGGGCGATCTTGGTCTGGGCGCGTTGGCAGGGCCGCCACCGCCCACCAGTTTTTAGGGCCCACGGTGGGAAAGCTAGTGGCGAGCGCTGTGAACCAGGAGGAGCAGGTGACAGGAATGTAAGCCTGGGACCCGGGGAAGGAGCAAGCTGCTCAGCTGCGGCCGCCGAGCGGGGACGCTCCGGGCGCGTTGGATCGGATGTGCCACTCTGCGCTGGTGACCCGCGCCCGCGCGCCTGGGCTACCGACCAGGCTGGGAGGATGCAAGTCTGACTTGGGAACAGTCTTGACTCTGGCTTTTCTGGATTAAGAAATAAACATCACTGCCGGAGTCGTAGGGTTTTATTTTTAAAAGGGGGGGGGGAGAAAGAACTTGCAAAGTGTTTTTATTTTTAAATCAAAGCGTGAACTCGGGCAAGACAAGCGGTCGCCCGCAGAAAGCGCGAGGTCGGGAGCCCAGATCCTACTCCCCAGCCGCGGGGGCGCGCGGCTCGGGGGCGCGTGGTGTGGGGACGCGCGGCTGGGGGCGGGGGCGATACGCAGGGGCGCGCGGTGTGGGGACGCGCGGCTGGGGGGGGCGATATGCAGGGGCGCGCGGCGCGGGGCCGTGCCGCTCTGGGCGGGCCGTGCGCGGGCGCGCGGGGCCGGGGGCGCGGCGCTGCCAATCGCAGACAAAGGCCGCCCCGTGAATCATGTGGTGCGGCGGGAGGAAGTGCGGCTTGTTTTCTTTCCTCGGCTCTCGGGCTGCGGCGGGCGGAGCGCGATGCGCCGGGACCCCCGCGGGGGCGGCCGTGAGCCCCGATGAGGCCCGAGCGCCCCCGGCCGCGCCGCAGCGCCCCCGGCCCGATGGAGGCGCCGCCGTGGGACCCGGTCCGCAACGACTCGCTGCCGCCCACGCTGACGCCGGCCGTGCCCCCCTACGTGAAGCTCGGCCTCACGGTGGTCTACACCGTGTTCTACGCGCTGCTCTTCGTGTTCATCTACGCGCAGCTCTGGCTGGTGCTGCGCTACCGCCACAAGCGGCTCAGCTACCAGAGCGTCTTCCTCTTCCTCTGCCTCTTCTGGGCCTCGCTGCGCACCGTGCTGTTCTCCTTCTACTTCAGGGACTTCGTGGCGGCCAATGCCCTCAGCCCCTTCGTCTTCTGGCTGCTCTACTGCTTCCCCGTGTGCCTCCAGTTCTTCACCCTCACGCTCATGAACTTGTACTTCACGCAGGTGAGCAGCCCCGGGAGCGCGCCCCGTGCCTGCAGGGCGCGCACCTGCCCGAGCCGCCCCCATCCGGGGCCCTGGCAGGTCTCGGCCGCAGGCAGAGAGAGAGGCCAGCAAGTGCACGGGTTCTGGGGTCTTGAGCCCCGCCCCTACCGCCTACCTGCGGGCCCTTCCCCCAGGTAGCCCACCCCGGATCACGAAACGGGGAGAAGGTAGGCGAGGGCTGGATGGCGGATGCCTCTCCGCGCACTGTGCGGCGTTGCATCTGCACGTACCCGATTCGGTGCGCGTGCAGGGGGTGCCCACCAGGGAGGCCTGAACCCTACAGTTTTCCCTCGGTCTGCTCGGCCCAAGGCACCAGACCTCCAGCCTGCGAAGGTCACCTGCACGTTGGCCCCACACCGGAGCCAGACACTGTGTTTTTGAGTAATGGCAGGGTGGGCCGGCTTTGGGTTTGGTGAGATGTTTTGAGCCTCTGGCTTCTGAGCCCTGCTGCACTGCGACTCACAAACTCATTCCACAGCATCGCCTCACGCTGCCAGTCTGGGGTCACGCCCAGCTCCCCAGCTGCTGCAGGTCAGGCTGGGTGGCAAGCAGGCTGAGCGCCTCTGAGAGGCCCCACCGGGGCGCTTGACGGGCACACCAGGTGCGTTTTATGAGGATATTGTTAATAAGCTAATGGGTTGCAGGTGCATTCACTTGGCGGCTGCTTTACCTGTTGGCTTAATGAAAGTGCAGTAGTTGTAAAGCACTTTACAAATACCTGTACAACATTGTGGAAGCTTCCGTGACACAAGGCATCAGCGTCATTGTCACCATTAGCTTTCTAAGCGCCAAACTGCCCATTCCCACTGGGACTCTACCAAAGGGGCAGGCTCCAACTGTGTCACCTGGTGAGGGTCATTAAAGGGTCTTCTGGTGGAGGGAGCCCCCAAGCAAGCAGACACCTTTGCCTTTTCGCAGTGGCCCTGTTTCTCAGAAGAAAATGTCATCGATTAAAAGAAAAAAGATAGAGCGGCATTGTCAGTCCAAATACTGCTTTTAACTTGCAAACCAGTCCAGGCTGTCGGCCACATCGCAGACACTGGCCTTGTAATTGCATGGAATGGGTGGCTCCAGCAAGATGCAAAAGTCAGGCAAGTGGCGTTTCCTCCAGAACGGTGGCGAAGGTGATGTCACAGGTTGAGGTCTTTACTCCTGCTCCCTTTTGGGGAACAAAACAGGCAAATGCAGGGACAGGCTATGGCTTTTGTTAATCACATGCAAATCCTGAACTTGGAGCCGGTTAGGGCCTGGGCTGCACATTTTCTGCACCATCTGCTGGTTGGTGAGTAAGTGCTGAGCAAGAGGAAAAGTGACCAGGCAGACAGAGCCAGCATCAGGAGGCCCCAAGTCACTACCTTGTCTTCTGTGTCTCCCAGGTCACTCCCAGGTATGCAGGTTATAGCAGAGGGTCTTTTGCCTGAGGGCCCAGGGCAGCAGGCAGGAGAAGGTGGTGTATAAGTGCTGGCAGCCCAGACCCTGGCAGAACAAAGTGATTCCTGGCTTCCTGACAGAAATTCTGGTCCTTTAGGAAAGTTAAAAAGAGGTGGCCCTTTGACTCCAGCTCAGCAGGGCCACAGGCCTCTTCCACAGGGTTCTCAGCCCTTGGAAGTGCCTGAAATAGGGAACTTTAAAAATTATGGCTGCCCCCCAGCTCCATGTCAGCCTGAGTAAATGCAAGTTTGGAGGGGGGAAGGTAGCAACTAACAATTAAGAAGCATGTCCTCACCAGGTGTGGTGGCGCAGGCCTGCAATTCCAGTTGCTTAGGAAGCAGAGGCAGAGGGGTTAAGAGTTAGAGGCCAGCCTGGGCAAAGTTATGGAGACCCTATCAAAAAACCAAAATACAAACAACAGATTGGGGCTTAGCTCAAGGCGCAGAGTACGTTCCCGAGGCCCTACATTCAGTATCCAGTACCACAAAAATGAACAGATAAATATATACACACATAAATTAGCAGGGTGAGGTGGGGCACACCTGTAATCCCAGCTACTCAGGAGGTGGAGGCAGGAGAGTCTGAGGCCTGCCATCAAGAGACCTTATCTGAAAAACAAACTAAAGGCAAAAAGACTGAGGCCGAAGCTCAAGTAGTGGATCACTAGCAAGCACAAGCCCTGGATTGAGTTCAGACTCCAGTATTTTACACACACACACACACACACACACACACACCTTAATACCCAGTGTACAGGCTTGACGGTGTAGTTCAGTGGTAGAGCACCTGCCTAGCAAGCTCCAGGCCCTGGCTTCAATCCCCAGTACCACAAAATGAAAATAAAACAAAAAGTGCTGTATGCTAGGTACCAATCTAAGTAATTTATTGTTTTTATGCTTCACAGCAATCTCTGAAAAAGTACTGTTACTGTCCCCACTTTCCAGAGGAGGAGCAAGACTCAGGTTAAATGACTTGCCGAAGCTCATGGGAGAGCCAGGAGTCACACCCACCTGTGTGGCATCTCGGTGTAGGACTTGTCTTTATGGTGTAGTATTTGAAATCTCTTACAAGGAAAATAATATACCCAAACTCTAAATGCAACTCCTTGTTCTTCCTGAGCCTAAAATTTTAAGATACAAGGAACGTACAGGACATAGCTATGTGGGATTCAAATAAGCTGGGTGACACAAAGTATCTAGAGGCCCAGATCAGTGTGACTCAGAGGCTGCCGAGTGACACAGTGTCCCTGCAGCACAGCTCAGTCTTGACTCCAGAGACCGAAGGAAGCATTGAGAGATCTGGGTGGGTCCTGCGGCTGCAGGCAGGGTGGGAAGGGAGAGGTGGCAGAGCTTCGAGCGTCCGAGAGGTGGAGGAAGGTGGCTCTCTGTTGTCATGTCATTTATGCTTGGCACACTCACTCATGCTTTTAACCGTAGCTAAAACGGTGTCCATAGGAGGGCGCCATTCCTTCCCCTTGAGGCTCAGAGATGAGGCCGTCCGTGCACTCAGCCCTGCAGCCCACGTGTGCCCTCTGTAAGGCGAATGGATGTGGAGTGGTCCTTTCTCTAACCCCCGGCCAGCACTGTCCCCATCATGCTTTAGTCACACACACACAGTCATGAACGAACTGCGTCAGAAACAGACAACATGCTCGTGTCTTTCCACAGTGCCAAAATTTATGGAAGAACAAATTCACACATTGGGTCAAGTTCATTGGCATTAATTTGCCAGGTACTGCTGATTTTGCCTGAGAACCAGTCGGTAAACAGGTTCTTCTGTTCCAATCTTAATCCCTAATATGAACTCTCAGATTACACATTACACTGCACAGTAACACACAGGTTACAGAACTGTTAAGAAAGGGTTAGAGTGACAAGCAGGGTTCAAACATGCCTCGCTGAAGGCAGGGGCCAGAGAGCAAAGAGTCACCGCAGGTGGTCAGATAAGATATTAACACAGGGAGGCCGGTGGCAGAGCCATTGAGGCTGGAGCTAGTGTGAGGTAAGGTAGTTGTGCCAAGGAGCAATGCTGGCTCAAAGCACGGAGTCGATTCCAGGCTAACTGGATCCAGATGGATGTGATTTGAGTGGGACACATCGAGGTACCCAGGACAGAGTTGGAAAACCATGTGTCATTGGTGTCACCCAGTGTTAGGAGCTCTTTCTTTTATGTGATCGGATGAGGGGTTCTATCATTGGTGGTCTGATGTGTTTAATAAGTTCAGAGGCCTGGTTTTCCTGATATGGGTTTGATATACCCATGTGTTCCTGATTTAGTTTGCTAAGTTCATAGGTGGTTATGTTTCATTTATGTAAATAAATTATTTATCAGCATGGCCCCTGACTTGGGCTGGACAGATCATGGTTGTTTACTTGCACAAACAAGACACAGCCATGCTACCTTTGAGTACGTTTGCACTCAAAATGGAGCACACTGCTCTCTTATAAAATGGAGTCACTCGGGACAAGGCACAGCCTGAGAGCTACTCTTCTGTACAAAATGGAGGAACTTTGAGCAGGCCTAGCCTGATCTACACTCACACAGGCAGCAAGCCCCCTCCTCCCCAGACACATGTCACCAGGTACCCTGAACATTGAGAGGCCACTTTGGTTTCCTTCCTTCCAATGCCTGGTTTTCAACTCTGCTGGGTAAAGCTCTCCTTCCTGCCCCTGTGAAGTCTCAGGTGGACCCTACAGTTTTCTAGTCATGCTCAGTTACTACATCTTTATCCCCAGTTTAAATCTCTCCACCTCTGTCCTGGCAGGCCCAGCTTCTAGCTGCAGGACTTGGAGAAGAAGGATATGTCCTGTGCAGGCACATTGGGGATGCAGTCTGTACACCCTGGCTTTGCCCAGCTCTGCCTCTGTGGGTGACTGCCCTGGCAGATAGGGAATTTAACTTCATCATGTCCCCTCAGCTGTCCCCCTGCCTCCCCAGCCCCCTCTTCAGGAGATGTGGCCTAGTGGCTTTAGGCCTACTTTCTGACTCGTTCCTTTCTCACGAAGCCAGGGAGCCACTGTGGCCCCTCGTCCCACTCAGCTACACAGCTGACGGTCTGGGACCCCGTGTCTTCTCCTGGGTCCATCACCCCGGCTTCCTGTCTCTGCTTGCCTAGGGGCTTCCCACCTGCAGAAATTTCAAGTGGGAGTAGGCACCACCTTCCAAGTGCCGGGCGCCCTCAGACCTCCAGTGCCCAGGTGGGCACTCCCTCCATAACCCACTTTGCTCTCCACCTGCGGGGTCTGCACACTTCCAGCCCAGCAGATGCGTGTCCAGGCTCCTCAGCCACCTGGGACGCTGTGCTTTCTGGCCACTAGGCTGATGAAACCCTGTCATGCTCCACTCTGCCTTCTCATAAAGCCTGTTAGGTGGGGAGGGATGGTGGCATCGGGCTGGTTCTGCCAACACTGCAGGTTCCGGTGTAGCCTGTGCGTGTCTGCTCCTAATGTTTGGGCCCTTTTTGGAAAGCGGTGACTGGGGACCTGTTCCTGGTGATGAGCCCTTGCACCAGCTCTGGGGCATAGTTCCCT